ATATTTAAAAAGTTAGGAATTAAAAAAAATTAAAACGAAGCCTCCGGAGCAACGCCCGGGTCTGAGAGCTAGTAATAATTAAAAGTCCAATTTTCGTCATATCAACGTTGTAAAGATAGCGATAGTCAACGGTAGTAATTGAAAGTCATTTTTCGTAATATCAACGCTGTAATGAAAGTCAAAAAAGCTTTTTTTCGTCATATCAACGTTGTAATCATGGCGATAGTAATTAAAAGTCAAAAAATTAAAATCAATCGATTTCAAACACGATTCGAGCATACTGAGTTTAAATTTAATAGCGGAAATCATGTGACCACAAAAACTCGAGTTTAATTTGTTCGGGTTTCGAACAGGGTCGAACCGAGTTCGGGTAAGCAGGATAACATCCCTAATCTGCACTAATTAAACAATAAAGTAATAAAAACATACGTAGGATTGGGGTTGACTTAAACTAAGGCTAAAATTTACGGAGAATTTTTTTGTTAGTGCAGTAGATGGTTTCATAGAGTTAAATTGTTAGAAAAGATCATCTGCGACGATCTTTCATGATCATGATCCTACTGCGGTGCTTAAAAGGTAAATGTGTTTTAGACGTCATCATTTATCGCGTCTTTTTCTTTTTTGTTTTTTTTTTTAAAAAAAAAAGGGAATTTACAAATATTAGAAAAACTAAAATTTGGCCAATTTTTCCTTACATAATAGAGCAAGTTCTTTGAGAGGGCAACCCATTTCAAATAAGAGAAAAAAGGGACGATTAGATAGGTCGCCCGTATTACGTAGCGAAACAAAATAAATGCTGCGATAGTGACGTAGTTGTCCTTAACTCGAACTTTGGGAAACGCCCAAAAATACGATAATATGTATGAAAACTGACATCAATTTAAATTATCTTTTTAATAGTCTAAATAACTTGTTTTACACAATACTATTTGTAATTCCAGTGATAATTTTTACATCATTCGGTTCGAATGGTGCGAAAATCATTGGATTCTGAACATTGAATTACGATATGCAATAATCGATTTTGTCGGGCCATATTATTATAAAAATTTGTAAAATTTTATTGCGCTTTTCGCAGGCGTTATTTCGAAGACTGTGACTCTTAAAAAAAATATTATACTTGGTTCATGCGATTCCGAAATAACGTATACTGTGTATAGATATGTCAGCGGATTTTGCATATAGGAATGAACCCTGGAAATATATTTTGTATACAGCACGGAAAAATCTTTATAATTCGGGTCCAGGTGCACAATTTCACCAAGAATTAAATATGATGATACTGAACGAAAAAGTGGGTGAACTTAAATTATGAGCACGGATGGACTATACATGAAATTTAAAAAACCACGATTTGCCATAAGTATATTAAGTCCAAATAACACGTAGGGGTGCGCTATTTCGAGGTTATCAGTATAAATTATTTACTATTATTTGAAAAAAATAAATAAAATAAAATGAAATACTAGTTTTATAGTAAAACAGTATAATAAATATTATAGCGTCTGGTTCATTTATTTAAACATTAACATTTCTACTTCTTTTAATACTTTTGATATAAACAATTTAGCATCTCTTTTTCTAATTGTCTATCTTCCTCATTTTCTGCATTATTTATGTTATCCTTCCTCTTTTGTATTATAAGCTCCCTGTTTAATTCAATATATCTTTCGCAATAATCCATTAGTTGAGGTGCACTACATTCTTGAGCCCATTTTAAAGTCTCTACGACATTATTAACATTGACGTATGATTTAGTAATGATTTTTTCCTCAATAATGTCTTTAAGTGGATCTACTTGATATATATCAGATGCTTTAAGCAAATCTATCAAAAATGTTAAACATCTTGCTTCAAAATCTGAAGATTGATCTTCAGATGTTTCAAACATATTCGACGTGGCATCTTCGAACGATTGGCCATAGAGCCAGCGTATAAGAACTCGGAATGTGTCAGGTTGAATATCATTTATTTCCACTGTTACTATTTGTGATTCGGCTGATTCAATCATTTGTCCACAAAAAATTGCTCTGAAATAATTTGAAGAAGCTACAAGAATATAGAGAATTAAAACCATAAACGTTAATAATTGATTCCAATTTATATATTACACACATAAAGAACATAACAATTACCTGAAAGAACATATCGGCTAGCGTAAACTTTTTCAATTCTATCATCATTATAAATGCAAAAAACAACATCATGATGTTTAGTGTCGTTTTGCATTTCGAAGCTATTTAGTAGTTCCTTAATCAATTCTTCTTTTTGTGAATGTTTTCTGACATTACCATTGGATTCAACAGCTTTT